GCAACAAGGCTATGGCAACGAGTTTTCGGGCGAGACGAGTCAAGCATGCATCATTCACGCATCCCGAGGTGAGGATGTGGCCACCTTCTTTCTGCATTCAATTTGTTAATTAATTAGAAATTCTGTAATGATTAATTTAGTAATATTTATTCGGACTGTAATATTTATTCAGACCCTCCGAGCGAGGGCAATTGTAATAAGTGTACGTGCGTGTGTGCATGTCTTCCAACCCCACGTCTTTCTTCCCTTTTATTTACTAACTTTCAATGGTTAGTCTAGAGTATGTTTCAATTAGCATACAGTATGATAGCATGTTTGCATCCATTCATTCGTTTTGCATGCACTGGGCTCAGCGCATCATTCTAACTGCATTTGTACTTCAAATCCAAATTGAATACGTGTTAGTTGTAACATTTCAAACGTCATTGTAGATTAGCCGAGCCTATGTTAGTTGCATTTTGCATGTGTTGCATTCGCCATCTTAACATGAACTAGGATCATGCACATGATTACTAACTGGTTTCTGTTTTGGCTTGGAGTACTAAGTAAGCTTTTATGCTTTAGCATGCCACATGTGTGTGAATGTTGCCATGATAGCATAATTACTATGAGGCTAGCTGCTTATGTGATATAACTGCCTGTGGATAGAGGTTGAATTACCTAAATTGGAATAATGCATTAAAACTGTGAGTTGTAAGCCCACTAGATAGTGGCAAAACCATCTTTTCTAAAGCCCACTTGAGGGTGGCAAAATCTGCATTTTAGCCTGCTTGCGAGTAGCAAACCATTTTCAAGACAAACATGAAATGTTTTGTTCCAATTTAGGCGATTTGGTCTATACTTGTTTACTGTGCGCATAACATAGTAATTCTATGCTAATAACCGGAATAAGAGCATGTAATGTTTTCAAAACAAGCTATCGTGGTTAGTAGAGGCCGATCTTTGATCGGGCAAACAGGGGTGCTCATAGCTGACCTTCCCCAATCGTACCCAAGTTCCCGAGCCGAGGCAACTTTGGTGATGACGGACACGTGGCCTTTGGCACCGAGTCAGGGTTTCCTAAATTCTCCCAAAATAAAATATTTAGGTGACGACTCTATATCTGGCAAAGTAGTCCATGTTTGGCACTTCTTTTCTAAAAATCTGTTTTCTCAAAACGATTTGCCGGATTTGGACTCTTTGGTTCAGATTAAGAACCGTGACAATTTGAGTCCGAACTGTAGCATGGGGCCCACGGGCGCGTCTACACATACATCACACACACACGCACACTTATTACAACATTGCCCTCCTCGGAGGGTCCGAATGAATAGTACAGAATAAACTAGCTAATCTAAGCTAATTAAACTAATTATTAAATAACATTAATTAATTAACGAATTAACTAAGTAAGTAAGGAAACTGGCATGCAAATTAAACAAAATGGACTGCCTCAGCTCTATTCCGAATGATAGGGATGCATGCATGCTCAAGTCGCCTTGTCGAGAAATCCATCGCGATGCCCCGATTTGCCTCTGTTTGCAACTGGTCCCAGAACACTGTACAAAGCTCTAGAAGGCTGCTGACTAATTTTTGCTGCTGGTTTCCAGTTTGCTGCAACAGAGAGCGAGAAAGGGGCATGGCAAAGTATTTTCAACATATGTGTGCATGACCACTCTCCCCATCATTACACAAGCTCCAAGGAGTGTAGTTCTCGATTCTCGTGCTACCAATCACGCATCTCGATGCATGATGGCCGAGGAGTCAGATTGCACGACTCGATGTAAAATGAATGCACATATAAACACAACAAGGCCTAAACTCCATCATGGGTAATCCGGAGTGTCGGTAACCGAGAATCGAGGCACGTTTCGTCACTTAGAGTACGAAACGTCCATCGTTTCCCGTGTTTAGACTAAACCCTATTCCAAACACAATGCAATATACATGGCATACACAATACGACTAGCATGCAACCCTAAACGCAATGCAACCCTAAACGCAATGCAACCTAATCATGCTAGCATGCGAGGGATGATATACAAACATGCAACTAGCATACACAATGCTATGAACTAAGAATGGCATACTCAATGCACATGAACTATATGGCATACGCAATGCACATACGAAGATGGACATGCACGAAGACATGAACAAGGCATACACAATGCGACGATCAAGCATGAGACAACATGGATATGGCACACATAATGCAAGATGGACTTAAACTAAAATGAATGGGCCTCAGCCACACTCAAATCAGTGGCCATACATGATGAAAATGAAGTAACAACACACATGCACAAATGTAAGGGACCAAACCTAAGGCACAAAGTGCAACTCCACCAAAGCATGGTAAACATGAAATATGGCATACAATCACATATTTTTCAGCTCTGAAATGACATGCAAGATGGTCCCGAATCATGCAAACACCTCACACAATGTATGCTAGATGGCCCAAATACCGAAACTAGCGAAGTGGATTACATTATAGGCATGCAAGGCAATACTCAAATGGCCAAAACAGCCCCAAACAGTCCCTATGCAGGCGAAAACAGTAGCAAATATAGACTAAAATAATGGCTCGCAAAGCATGGAAATGAAGCTCATGCAATGGTCCAAAAATGAGGTATTCATGCATAACTCTCAAACACATTTAACGAGTGGAAAACATGGGAATATGGCATACATATAAGCTCTGAAATATGATTCACAATGATGCCAAAACATGGAAACATCTCAAAATACGCATGCAATAGGCTTCAAAACTCAAAGCTAGACAAGGGTATTGAACTACAACCATGCATAGCAAACATCATTCGACCATGAGGCCCAAAAATAAAGCTAAGGCAGTCCAAAACGTGCACAAAATCAGTTTAAGGCATGGCAAAAAAATGCTAGAATCAAAGGCCAAAATAGCATGCAATGTAAGCTAGTAAAGAGGATTTGCACTACAAGCATGTGAGGCAATCAAGAGGCCACTAAACCAGCAAAATTCAGAGGTATGACATGCCAAATAAAGCCCAAAAATCCACTGAAACATGGTTAATGCATGCAAGAATGAGATGCTCCTTTAATATGCTATGAAGAGGGTTATTCTACACGTGAGCTAGACATCCAATATGGAAAAACAAGCCCTGGACAGAGCGTATGTAGGTCCTAAAACTCATCGAAAATGGCCTGAAACATGGCTTGGAAACATGCAAATAAGGGCTCCTTTGTAAGGCCAAAAATGCTAGAAAACAAAACAATGAGAGAAAAGGTCACCCCTCTCTGATTTTGGCACTCAAAATAGCATGCTAGCCACTGAAAATCCACTGGATTTCAGTGTCTAAAAGGCCAAACAAAGGCCAACACAAATGCTCTAAGGCATGGCTCAAAACAAGGTAAAATGAAGCATGCAAGGGGTAGATGACCCCCAACAGAAAAATGATCTTAAACAAACATGTTAAGGGCCTCAAAATAAGACTTTTTCAGTTTACACCAAAGCTCAAATATGCTTGCAAGTATAGCTAAAAGATGAAGCAAAATAAAACTTTAAAAGGGAGAAAGTGTATTACCCTTGTAGCACAAAAGGACCAGCAACCTCTGGACCACAGACAGCCTCTCAACCTCTGAAAATGGCCTCCAAGATGCTTAGAGTGATGGTGGAGGGGTTAGGTTGGAAGATGGTATGCAAAAGTGCAAGAACCATTCACTTTTTGAGCTTGGATGTAGAGATATAGAGGGAGAAGTCTTGTATGCCTTAGACTAATTTTTTTTTGAACCCTCTACAAGAAAGGGGAGCCCTTCCTTTATAGAAAAGAGGGACTAAAGCTTATCCTAGAAGCTTAAAACCAAAGGCAAACATCCTCCATACACGTGTATGGAGGATGCAGTCTATGCCTTCCAGCTGGCATAGCTGGAATCAACTCACTGAGACAGAACTGATGGGAGCTGGTCGACCAGTTCAAGTGGTCGGCCGACCACTTGCCCTGGTCAGCCGACCAGGGTTAAAAGGTTCAAGTGGTCGGCAGCCTCCTAGGGTGGTCTCCACATGAAATGCAAGCAAGTGGTATGGTGGGAGACCAGTAAATGTGGCCCCAAAACCAAGGAGACCAGCTTCCTGTCAAGAAAATAGTCCAGCGAAGAGAAAGGTGGTCTCCAAGGAGAAAAGGTGGTCTCCCACCCTTGTACCACCTTCCAAACAATGAAAATAGGGTCCATGCCAAAAATGAACCAAGACGGATGCAAAACGAGGGTTCGGGGGCCAAAACGCGCAGCCGGGTGCCTCGAAAACTGACTATTAAGCATCGAAAGTGGCATGCGACCACGAAGGTGGTCTCCCAGGCGACAGTGTCCCTCTAGAGAGAGGAAACAAGGTGTGTGCCAAAAACCAGAGCAAACGGAGAAAGTTAAGCAGTCCCAAACCGAAGCGCACGGCTGATGGCTCCGAAAATCAGAAATTGGTCTCCAAACGGGAACAGTGGTCTACGACCACGAAAAATAGCCTACGGCCACTGAGAGATGGTCTACGAGACCTCTCCCTCCCTTCGGGAAGAGAAAGCAGAACCTGATTCGCAAACCGAGGCAAAACACAAAAGAGTCCCGAAGTCCGGAGGCAAGGCTCTCAACCGAAACTCCGTAACCTCAAAACGATCACAACATGCACCATCACTGAGAGCTCAATCGATGACATCTGAGTCTTAAAGTCGATCAAAAATGAAATGTCTCCAGATCCCTAGTATTATTCTTTCTGCATATTCTCTGTGGATGGGTGTCCAGACAGGTGGATCCAGATTTGTTTGCCTTATAAAATTTTATTCATCAATTTTTTATTATTATAATTATAATGAGTAGAAGGGGAATAGGGAAGGGGAAGATGCGCCCTAATCACATTGATATAAAACATTTTTCCAGTGCTAAAGCTATCATTCCTCTATAGATACAAACTCCTGCAGCAGATGAACTGACGGGAATTTAGCTCCCTTAACTCAAAATAAAGCAAAATGCTAGCAATCTTTGACAGAATCAAGTAAGCAAAACAGAATAACCCAATTTCTTTTATTTTTAGTTTGGAGGATGTCAATATACAAATGGATAACATACCATCCAAACAATTGTAACTTCTCTTATTTTTGATTTGGAGGATGTCAAAATACCAATGGATAACACACCATCCATCCAAACAATTGTTTTACTACTCAAAAGCCCAAATTTTGGGTAAGAATAATAACAACATACACTTGTGCACAAATAGAGAGAGAGAGAGAGAGAGAGATGCTAAACTATAGTAGAATTTCCTCTTGAACACTAATATTAAGAGTCTTGTTTGGAAGGACAATGCTGTTGATCACCACAACTTCATCTTCAACGGTCACAGCTTCACCTGGTTTATTAAACATATATCGACTTAGAATTTTTGTACTGCATGTAATGGAGTTTCTCAGTTAATAAAGGAAATGGAACAATATCACAAAGAAAGAAAACAAGAAGAAAGTACCAAGGATTGTAATTCCAAGTTTCGCATTGTGATCTCCTCCAGCCTGAAATCAGTTTTTATCAAAATTAAGAAATATATTACTGCAAATTGAGAACTATCTAAAGGAAGATTGTTCGGTGCAAATTTGTGCAAGTTGAAAGCTGATAATTTGAAATCAGAAGTTAATAGTACCCCTTCTCTAACTTCCCGATAATCAATTTTTTTTAGGTTATTTAAACTATATTTACATTAGTTGTAAGCTGAAGTAGCGCCAAACAATTTGGCATAGACTTCCAAAAAGAAAAGAAAAGAAACGCTATAAGCAACACATATAAGTTACACCAAATAGCCCTCATACTTTTATTAGTAAGAACTGAGAAATAGTTGCTATTTTTGTTAGTGGAATACCAAAAGGAGAATACAGACAGGAAGAAAAAGAGAGACAACAAAGTATATGACAATAGAGAATTGAAGAACTTGAGATCTTATTTTGAACAGTGTTCTTGAAAAGCGAACAAATCAAAACCTGAGAACATTCAAAACCTGAGAACTTAACAACTTTCAATGAAGGCTGTGAAAATTAAAACTACAATTCCCTTTCTTCCTTCCATGCCAAAATGAAGCTATTTTTATGGTTAAAAGACTAACTTCATGTTGCTGAAATGGCATTTCTTATATTGATGGGCTTTTTATTGATAAATCTCATTTAGAAGTATTTTAACCCAAGAAGTACATGAAGAAATTTTTTGATCCACTTAGTCCCATGTATTTATACTTTTATTCCATAAAGTCATTTTTCTTGATTTACATTATTTTCTTAAACTCTTAGGCCCTTATATTTAATATTGATATTTAATGTTGGGGGAGGAAAGGAAAGGGAAGGGAAAGGACCAAGGTATAGGAAATTTCATACACAAATTAAATAATATTGATGTTATTATTTTATATTATTATATAATGTGAATATATTTTTAATTGACAACATATTAAAAATAATGTAAATATTCTCTCTCATCTGATGTGAACGTTCACAACACCTTTCTGAAAAATTCTCTCTTATCTAATGTAGTGATGTGAACATTCATAACATGTAAGCCTTCTTATTTTTAATTGACAACACATTCTTATTCACAACATGTGAACATTCTCTCTCATCTAACATAGTGATGTGAACGTTTACATTCGTATGTTTTAGTAAGAATATTCACATCATGTAATTAATAACACAATGACAAAAATTCATTTTAAATTAATGTGAATATTCATTTCAATTACATGATGTAAATATTCACATCATGTAATTCAACACAATGACAAAAATTCATTTCAAATTAATATGAATATAATGATAGTCAACATCTTGATGCATGGGAACTACCAAATCATAATGACAATCAACATTAAATATCAACATTAATAAGGGTAGGAGAGATTGAGGGTGTTTTGCTCTTCTTATTTCAAATAGGACCTAATAGAATAATAAAAAACAACATGGGTTAAATGGAATAAAACTCTTAGAAAGAAGATTTATCAAAAAAGCCCCCTTTGTTGATCATTTGACCCTTTTTTTTTTAATAGCCGAAACAAAGCAATCAAATATGCCATTGCTGGTACTCCAATAACATATCTGGTAGATGAGTTAAACGACTAGGTATAGTGTGTGAAAACATTGATTAGGAACAAGGAAGTCAATCCACCCGAGGGTTATTCATAGCTTTAAAGACCGACAGATCGGAAGTTCTACAAATAACTAGAGTATAAAACTAGCATTTTGAGATAACATTATGAACTTGCCTGTACTCTAGACCATCTCCCGATAGAAGACTTCCACCCAACAATTGCATGCATAACAACTGCATTTTCCTGAAAAACCGAAGATATAAATGCCAAGTGGCAGGTATAGTTAACCATGCACTTCAAATCCTTTAATTTGATTAACTACCTTGATTTCAACGTCATCAAGAATAATACAGCTGATGAGCCTTACACCAGGTCCTATACGAGCATTGGCAGAGATTGAGACATTGGGACCAATCTGTTCCAAAAGCATAATACAAGAGTCAGTTGTATGGGTGAGAACGTAGCAAGTCTGGAACAAGCAAACAAATCAAGATATAACTGATAGATCCATCTTGGAGCCCGCAAATGGTGCTCCATTACCCACTGAGAACTTGCTCTTGTAAAATACTAAAGAAAAAAAAGAAAAAGAAACAACCTTACATCTTTCCTTTTTTTTTTCTTTTTTTTTAAAATAATTGCAAGCAAAGATCATGTCCCTAACAAGTCTATCTAACCATCAATAGACGAGTGAAAAACAGGACTATTTCCCAACCCCATTGGAATATTAACCAAGATATACATTTCCAGGTGATCTTCATGCAGTGTATGACATGAAGTATTTTTTATAAATTAAATTGCAAGCAAAGATCATGTCCCTAACAAGTCTATCTAACCATCAATAGACAAGAGTGAAAAACCGGACTATTTCCCAACCCCATTGGAATATTAACCAAGATATACATTTCCAGGTGATATCCATGCCGTGTATGACATGAAGTAAATCTTCCGAAGGCATTCACTTGATGCAAAAATATCGTATGAAATGCATCTTTAGATTTATGTATGCATTTAAATACTTGTTTAATGTTTGTAGTGGAAGGAAATAGCTTTTGATCACATGCTGAATCACAAACTTGTCACCTATATGCATTTAAATGCTACTTTAGTTAGCAATGTTCTTAACTCTTTAGACCATTCCCCAAACATCAAAACAAAGTCATAACACAGACACTGCAAAGATCAGCAAAGCTGTAATATCAAGACTGCAGATATAAAGAGATCAAAGCAAAATTACCTTCGCAGTTGGATGTACTTTTGCTGATGGATGAATGTAAACATCACCAATGATGGAAGCATTCTTTGTACCATCCCCACTTGCCAAAACATGGGGAGAAGCGAACCGAAATTGGGCAAGATACAGACCCGAGCATTTCAAAGACATTCTACATAATGGACTCAAAAGTCACAAGATTGTTGCAGAGGGAAAATAGCAGTACAAAACCTTAGAGCTTTGACTTACCCAGGAGTTTTAATTTGTTCCCAAAAATCCATGGTTTCATATGTATATAATTGCTTCTTCCCTGCAAGAGGGGATAGGATATCTTGATCCAATCTCACAAAATCTGAAGGAAGGCTCCTGTTATATGAACTTGTATCAGTGTGAAAACTTGAAAGAAGTTACATATTTCATCAAATCAAAGTTGGTAAGATTAACGTTTAATAAAGAGATATCATTATGGTGTTTAATCTAAAACTTAAGTACACAAGCCCATCCAAAGATGCCCCAACCCAATAATGCTGCGTCCCGGTTCAGTCCCAGTTGGAACAGGTTTATGTGTGTCGCTCAATTGTATGTCCAGGGACAATTTATTGAAGGAAATCCAATCCCCCAATCCTATCCATGAAACAAATGATCCTTACACTAACATTTAAGTGGTACAACGAGTGCATCTTAGAACAAGATAAGATAGCACATTGTTATACTAAAATTTGGTCATTAGACCCTCTAGACAAGGCCAGAAAAAGGTTGCAAATCCTATATGTAGTTATTATCCAATTTTATTCTAAAGCCATGCATATTTTGTCACTTTAATGCATCATATATAATTTTTTTTCAACCATAATCCTCTACATGCCATACAAATTTACTTTCCCACCCTAGGGCCAATAGTCACCTTCTTCTAGTTTCCAATTTGTACATTGTATATAAATTGGGTAATTGACACATAATAAAACTCAACTCCACAATCTTTAATACAAATTTGTGGGTAACTAACACAAACTATGAACTAAATATCATAAAAAACCACTTGCACATCATAATTTTTGTAAGAAATAGATGTATTATTGATTGATATAATGTTATATATATTACAATGATTCATGATTCCTATATATAGAAGAGGGTGAGTGTGTAGTAGGTAAGGAGTAGGTGAAGTGGAGGTGGTAGTGGTGTAGTGGGTTAGGTTTAGTGGAGTAGGTGAGGTGGTAGTGGTGTAGTGGAGTAGGTTTAAGTGGGTGAAGTTAAGAAATAGATGTATTATTGATTGATATAATGTTATATATATTACAATGATTCATGATTCCGTATTATTGATTGATATAATGTTGATATCTATTACAATGATTCATGATTCCTATATATAGAAGAGGGTGAGTGTGTAGTAGGTAAGGAGTAGGTGAAGTGGAGGTGGTAGTGGTGTAGTGGGTTAGGCTTAGTGGAGTAGGTTTAAGTGGGTGAAGTAGGTGATAGGTTTAGTGGAGTAGGTGAGGTGGTAGTGATGTAGTGGGTTAGGTTTAGTGGAGTAGGTGAGGTGGTAGTGATGTAGTGGGTTAGGTTTAGTGGAGTAGGTGAGGTGGTAGTGATGTAGTGGGTTAGGTTTAGTGGAGTAGGTGAGGTGGTAGTGGTGTAGTGGGTTAGGCTTAGTGGAGTAGGTTTAAGTGGGTGAAGTAGGTGATAGGTTTAGTGGAGTAGGTGAGGTGGTAGTGGTGTAGTGGGTTAGGTTTAGTGGAGTAGGTGAAGTGGTAGTGGTGTAGTGGGTTAGGTTTACTGGAGTAGGTTTAAGTGGGTCTAACTACTTTTAGCTTCCTCTTGTCCTTGTTCCTTCAACTTGAATCAAATCACTCTTCACTACTGAGAAGCTAAGGGTAATGTGACTAGTGTCAATTGAGAATTATATGAGACCAAGTTATCTAGGAAGGTTTGGACATGTACAAGGTGGACTAATGATTTTACTAATAAAGAGGCCATGTTAAAAGTGTTTAAGCGAATAAATCAAATACAATACAACAGAGATAAAAACCATTGCATGCATTTACCAAGATACACATCCAAGAAAGAAACTTTGTTACATCATCTCCAGCATATGTTGGGCTCAGTTCTAGATTAATAATGCAACGGCACTGTACAAGGAAAATCAATGTGAAAACATAATCAAGAAAACCATATATACTTGAATACCTGCTCCTGTGAACGGAAATACATGAAGGGTGTATAATGAAGAAAATTTGAGACCCTTGAGGTATAAATATCAGCATACCTGTAATTTAATGGAATTAAAAATTAAAAAAAAAAACTATTCCAAAAAAGAACATTCAAAATTGTATTCCAACTACAGCTACCACCACGGTTGGAATACCAGATGTTATAAAATGAACCAAAAATATTAAAACAGTAGCACATACTTCTCAATTTGTCTCATTAAATGGCTTTTGTCCCATAGGCCTGCACGTGAAAGAAAACCCCACCTAACACAAAAGGGGGTCAGCGGATCAACTCCAAGTACAAATTCATCAAACTGCATACACACACTAGCACAGCGATAGAGGGAGACAGAGACAGGAACAAACTAACCAATAACAAATGCTGTCACCACTATTCCTCATTTTATTTCGTATTATTATTTTTACCATCGACGATAGCTAAATAAATTTGGAGCCTCGAAGCGAAGGAAGACAGATTTGGAGCCTTGAAGGTCCCAAGTTATTTTCTCATTTATTCTCAGCAACTAAATAAAGGATTAAGAACTTAAAATAAATATTTTCACATTAGCCCTATCAAAACTTGTCATTTTCTAGGTACATAACTTAACTCCAATGCTAATTTTGCAACATAGATTCATTTTTTTTTTTTTTTTTTTTTTTTTTTTTTTTTTTTTTTTTTTTTTTTTTTTTTTTTTTTTTTTTTTGGTGTAAAATTGTGATCGGGGTTGATCCCCGGCATGAAGAAATGACAAGTTGGTGGAATGTTTGTGGTGGTATTTTTTGTTGTTGTTTTGTTTAATAATAAAAATAAAATAAAATAAAAAATAGATAAAAAAAAAATATTTTTGGATGGGTTATTTAAGAAAGATCGGTGTGAGGTGGATGACAAAGGGAACATGGATGTTTCAAAAGAAAGTGGGGGGTAGTGCCCCTGCAAAAAAATATATTATTGTAGAGTGGGTATTTAAAAGAGATTAAAAGTGATTTGGAAAAAATAAATAAAAAATAATTGATTTTGAAATCAAACGGAGGAGAGAGAAATGACAAGCCCATGTGATAAAGTGGAGAGAGAGGGTCTTGAGTTTGAAAAGAAAGAGATAAAAAGTGGAGCATCTCTGCTGTGCTACCCCATCATCAGTCTCACACAACAAAGGAGGAGAGAGAAAGAGCCCCTGAGAGAGAGAGAGCATCAGTGGTGGTCCTGGAAGCTGTGATCCCATTGCATTATCAGCTAGGCCTGGAATCCAAGCAGGCGCTCTTTCGGGTTGCATGGAGCTTCCTACTTGACTGTTGAATTCTGTACCGAAATGTGAACCTCCTACCTGATACACTGATTGAGGTGGTGGCTGACTTGAAAGTGGGGGCTGTCCCTGCGGAAATGAAGGCCCCATGCTAGGTGGAGGTTTGTTACCTAAATGAAACATGGGCTGTGAATGATGCAGCTGAGGTGGACCAGAGTGCTGGAAACCAGGGTTCTGCCCAATTTGTGAATGAATCTGGTGAGAGAAAACCGGCATTGAAGGTGGTCTCGGTTGTGGTGGCAGTGGGGGTTGCAGCGGCAGATGCATAATGCCACTTGTCTGTATTGGTTGCTGCAACTGGGTGGAGCCAGTGGGCAGAGAGGGTTGAAGTGGAGTGACATCGGTGGTGCTTGGGCATTAACATGTCCCTTCGGCTGCTGTACTGACTGTAAGTCATGTGATGGCAAGGACTGGAATTGGCATCACAGGTGGGTTTTGATGTTGCTTTCTTACAGGAATTGGAATCTGAGGCGACAGTTGACGACAGTACCTGGTTTTATCCACCCATCTATCCAAGTAATCTCTGTGAAACACATGACGACAGTTGCACAAATCTTTGTTGATTTTATCAGCGGAATAGGTTGAGGTCCGGCGGACGGCTAAGGTGAGGTTGCCGCCCGCCGGTGAAGCGAAAAAATATTAGGTTCTAAACTTGCTCTGATACCATGTAAGAAATAGATGTATTATTGATTGATATAATGTTATATATATTACAATGATTCATGATTCCTATATATAGAAGAGGGTGAGTGTGTAGTAGGTAAGGAGTAGGTGAAGTGGAGGTGGTAGTGGTGTAGTGGGTTAGGTTTAGTGGAGTAGGTGAAGTTGTAGTGGTGTAGTGGGTTAGGTTTAGTGGAGTAGGTTTAAGTGGGTGAAGTAGGTGATAGGTTTTAACAATTTTCTTAGGAAATATTTCTCAATGACACTACAAGCTGCTCAGATGCTCTCTAGAATATCCTATAACAAAGAGACAGCTAACAGCTACTGAAACTTGTGGAGAATTAGAAGTAAATAACTGTAAGTATTTCTCTTTCTTTTCTTTTTTTTTCTGCACATGGTAATTGCTTCAAAAAAAAGAAAAAGAAGAAAAAAAACGGAGATACCTTGTGGCTAATTGGAGAGCTTCAAAGCTGGACATACGGCTCAGATTAGCTGCCAACAACATAAATTTAGTCATCATCAGATGGCCATCTTGTGTCTTATATCATCTCAAAATCTGAACAAAACAACTACTCTAATTTGTATGATTCCAGAAAAAGTACAAAAATAATTGAAAAGCCAAGTATCGTATGCATACAACTCATGGAAAATATTTTATTGTCTTAAGGTAAAAGGCCATGAAAGATATCCACACAACCAATGGCCTAAAACTCTATCATGAGAAATCTTTCTACAACCAAGCTCCATGTTATACAATTAATCCACAACAAGGAAAAGGAATTGACAGATGCAAGCACTTCACAGAACAATATTTAAAAAAGAAAAGAAAAAAGAGATGAAGAATGTGAATCCAATCATTTGTAGAATCCCTCAGCAAAAGTGCACTTAAATGGCCCACATAGAAAATTCACAGATAGGTGTGAAATATTAGGGATTTCGTATAGCACCATGCCATACTGATTCCATTAATCTCAGAATATTTTGAAAGGCATGTAATGACCATAGCATAGAAAAACTTCTACCTACACACAACTCTATGGCATATCAGAGTCTGTATCACTGACCTCTATCTTTCCGTTGTGTGGAAACACCTTGAATTGCATTAAAAATATCTGGTGTAAATATATAAACACCGCAATTTATTCGATCACTTACCTGCAACGCATACAATTTCAGACAAAACAGAAAGAAGACATTAGACGTATACCAACGGTGTCATGATTAAGCAATGTCAAAAGACAAAAAGTAGTTGAATATGTGATCTTGTACATACAAAAGTTTCAGGTTTCTCGGTGTAATGCAACAGTTCATTGGTAACAGGATCAGCCACCAGTTCCCCAAACTGGTTGGCTGACTCTGCAGAAACCTTGATTACTAGGATTGTTCCTATCCCACCATATCTTCTATGAGCCTCTGCAAATGTGGAAGGAAACAGGCAGCTATTAAATTTTCTGAAAACAGAAGATACCGCGACAAATAACAACACACAAGATTTTAAAAGCAAAAAATTCAAACACATATTTGTGGGCAAGAGAGAAATTACCAAGCATCTCAGGCAGTGGAAAATTGCAGCAAACATCGCAATTTAGCAAGAATATATGTGACTGCCAATGCAAATATATAAACCATCAAGAACGAATAAAACATGATAGGAAATTATTTGAAACAACGGTCTTTTATATATCTGAGTTAACATGTTATCAATGTTCAACATAAAAGCAGAGAGGCTCAAAAGTCATAAACATCGAAGGTGAAACTTTTGTGCAAGTAAAATAGGTAGAGATGAAAACCGGGTTGTCTTCCAGGATCAGATCTCTGAAGTTATAGAGTCCACCAGCTGAGCCGTGTGGCTTGTCCTCTCTCAAGTATCTAATAATGTCATTATCAATAAGTAGGAATTATGAGATCCCAGATTCACAAACCAAATTAAAGTTAATAATTTAAACAAAAACAGAGTAAGAAGTTACCTAACAGGAACTCTGAGCTCATTAGATATAGATGAAACATATAACGTGAATTCACGCTCCTCATAGAAACCAATGAGATAGATCTGTGCTAGATTTGGGATCTATAACAGAAACAGATACAAAAATTACTCTGCAATTCAATACACTGTAAGTTAAACAATACCCAAAATTACATCTTTTTATCGTCCATCTAAGAATTCAAATATATATACCTTTTATACAGCATGACATGATATGACTTTGTAATACAAATAGCAATCTCAATCACACCCATTGAGCCAAAAAGTAAAAAGTAGAAACAAATCAATTTTGACATTCTTTCTATGAATTTAAAAACCTACTTACCCTTTTACAAGCAGATATTGGATGATGAACCATTGGCTGGCCAGCCAATGGAAAAAGTGGCTTTGGAATGTTTAAAGACAATGGCCTGAACCGAGTACCTACAAAACACACACAAATCAATAAATTTTGGGTTACACCAACAACAGAGGCTCATTATTTGAGACAATCCAATCCAAGATCACAATGTTCTAGCAAAAATTCAAACCAATATTCAAGAATTTCGAAACAAACACCATTATTGAAAGGCTCTCATTATTCACTACCCCAAAATTAAAAACGAAAATTCAAAAGAAATGAGAAAATGATCTCCATTACTTCAAATTATCAACAGAAATTCAAAACCAACCTAGAGTTCAATCCAAACAAATAAAAATTCCTAAAAGAAGTGAAATTCGATTCCATACCTTTGGTCGGCCCACCCACCATTATCACGGCGACCACTCTCTCCTCTGAGCTCCCCATTATTCAGCAACAAAAACCCTAGATCTCTACAACCAAGTTGCTCAATCCTTATCAAAATCACAAGGAAACTCGCAATTACAGAGCATACAAAGAGAAGCCAACTCGCCTTATATTATACTAACAAAAACAAAAATTGATAATTCATGTGATTGTTTTTCGTCCATTTCTCAATAGGAACGTTGAATTATTCGAAATACGGAGGATTAAAAAAAGGAGTTGACAGCTACGACGGAGAGAAGAGATTGTAGGACAGAACAGAGCAGTGGCAAGTGGTGGAGTCCATAGTAGAGAGAGAGAGAGAGAGAGTATGCAAATATAGGAAATACAGATAGAGATAGATGTAGAGAGAGAAGATTGGATTGGATTGAGCACAGAAACAGAGAGTGTCGGTGGTTAGAGAGAGACAGAGAGAGAGAGAGAGAGAGCATGTGAGAGAAGAGGTGGAAACTTCGCAACCTTTGGCCTCTTTCGCACTTATCGCAAAGCGAGTGGTGGTGTCGTCTGTTTCGTCTCTCTCTCTCTAAAATTTCTCTCTCTAAAAACTTGGATTTAGATTTGGATTTGGATTTGGGACTTTCCGGTGGACCTAGTGGTGGGACCTGAAATTTATGTCCCACTTGAATCAAGGTATGTTAAAGGGTGATTCTATTTGAATTTAAAAATATTTCAATACGCTTAATGTAAATTTTTAAAATTTTAATTTTTATTACATCATAGATAGAAATAATTATTTTAATTTAATATGTTGGGTTGTTCATATCCACCTGAATGGGATGAATTTTATCAATTTCAACACTTATAGAGTGGGAGTGGATTATGTTTTAATCACCTGCAATGGTGGTGAGACAGAGGGGCGGATATTACCACTCTCGATTCAAATCCAGCCCGATATAATTAATAATATATAAATAAATAATATATATGTGTGTATATATATAATATAATTACATATAAGAAAAAAATACTAAAAGCTTGTAGTTCTCCTTAAATATAAATAAATAATAATTCTAAAAATCTCATTGTTAATGTATATGAAAATAAGAAAAATGTAACAACCCTCATACTGTTTACTGATTAGGGACTGATTGATTACCGATAATCACCGATTACTGTTAAACGGAACTGATAATGACTGATAACTGACTGAGAATTGAACTGATTAAAGTACTGAACTGACTGACCGAAATTGAAACTGAATTGAGTGAATACATCTGTTTGAATTGCATTTTATCTGTTGACTGTTTGTTTGATCTGTTCGTGTTTTATGTTTAAACTATTAATTGAAGGCCTTATCGGCGGCCGAACCGGAAATGGGTTAGTGTATTATGATCGTCATATTTAATATGATTTTATGGTATAATTATCTGAAAATTGATTAGGTATGATTAAATTAGATTAAATGAGCTAATTAAAGAGTTAAGCTTAATTACCATTTTGCCACCCTTAGTGGCCCACTCAATACACACACTTGAGCCTTATGTACACACTTGAAGAACATTTTGCTCAGCCATTTTCTTGTGCTTAACCGACCAAGAGAGGGAGAGGGAGAGAAATTGAGTTCTACCTTGAAAATTGCTTGGAATTGTTTGGGAATTGAGGTGTGATTGCTACTTTGAGCTCCTAGACCTTGAATACAAGACTAAGGTAGGACATTCATCTTCTTGTTGTTGTTCTTGAGTTCATTCTTGCACAATTCATGCCTCATTTGTAGAGCTAAGCCATGATTTGGTTCATTAATGGTGGATTGAAGCTCATCTCTTGCATGCATGTTAGTATTATTGCATTTTGAGGTTAATTACATGGACATTAGTACATGCATGCTCATATTGTTGTTATAGACCATGCTTTCATCTGGTTTTGGAAAGAAATGAGCTCATTTGAGCAAGCTTTGGAGCTTCAATTTGGTTTAAAACTCATTCATGCATGTTTGAATGTTGTTCTTGAAAATGGGTTTGAATGTGGTTTTAATTGACTCACCTTTGGGGCTTGAATTCATAAATTGAGCTTTGAAACTTGTTATACATTGAATTTAATGATGTTTTCCGTAGCCCAGAACTCTGTGAGTAACAATTGTGTAAAGATATGTTCAACTGATTATCTTTTGAATACTGAACTGAACTGTTTACTGAACTGGTATTATTTACTGAATGAATGTATGTCCTTTATTTCTGAACTGTACTGTGGCATCCTTAGTACCTACTGTTTACTGTTACTGTTACTGTTACATAGATCTCTGTCGGTTCCCTCGTGGAACGACTACTGTTTACTGACTGATGGCCATCATTACTGTTCGGTCTTTTAATACCTACTGTTACTGTTATGCTAATGGATGTACCACATATGACTGTTTACTGTACTGAACAACTGAAATACTGATTGAATTGAACTGTTTTCATTACTGTAAGGACATTCATTCTAAACCCCTTTACGCTTTATGTTATTCACTGGGCTTTAGCTCACTGTTTATATATATATGTAGGTGCTCAGCCACCAGATCGGAGCTAGGAGCGTGGGTTAGACTCCAGTTTTGTCAAGCCAGCCTTTGTGCCTCACTGCGAGGTTCCGAGTTGCCATGCTATGGCTTGGGGGTGTTTTGTTTGTTTTTTTCCCTTCTGTACTGTCTAACTGTTCTGTATAGACTGACTGTTTTCTGTACTGTTATGTAGGGTTGAGTCCCTAGTTTGAGTGGATGTGAATATTGTACATACTGTTCTGTACTGTTTATATGTGAATGCATGAAAAATCTTTTTGGCATACAGACTGTCACAGCTCATTGGACATTGTTTAATTACTGTATTGGCTTCCGCCAGGCCCTGTACTCTGTTTTACTGTATTACTGTTAAGTAGGCCTTCGGTAATCTTGGATTACTGGCCGGTTACGGTGCTAAACCCATAGGGCCGGGTTTGGGTCGTGACAAAAAATTATTTACACTATGGTTGGGAACCTAGAAGATAAAAGAAAATAAATAATTACTTAAGTTATAAGAGAAAAGAAAAGAAAAGATATGATTATGATTATGATTATAATTTCTCTCCTTCTTGTTTGGATAAGTAACAAAAGAAAAAAAATGATTGCAATTTTTCTTCTTCTTGTTTGGTTAGATTTTATAAAAGAAAAGAAAAGAAACTGTTTTGTGTTATATTACTAAAATAACCTTTTTGAGTGTCAATCATTTTATTGCTTTTATTTTTATAGGGACAACATTGGTATTATAAAATATAAGAAATTTTTTTTTTCTCTCCCAATCTCTCCACTTTTGGAAAGATTCAAAATGAGTGTTATAAGAGAAATAGGTTTCTCTCTATTTCTCTCTATTTTTTCTCATTTTTCTCTACTTAAGTTATCCAAACAATATCCACCCAAAAAAGTTATCCAAACAAGTAAGAAAAATACATATCTGTCTATTTCCTATCTTTTCTTTCCAAATCACTCCATCTAAACATAGTGTTAGTGTGCTAAAGATTTAAATGATTCTCAATTTTTTTTTGTTATTCGCAATGTAGTCGAGTATTCGCAAGTATCTGACATCTGCGGGGCAAGGATGTCACTCGATCCAAACATAGTGTTAGTGTGCTAAAGATTTAAATGATTCTCAATTTTTTTTGCTATTCGTAATGTGGTCAGGTATTCGCAAGTATCTGACATCTGCGGGGTGGGGATGAGGTTGAAAAATTCTACTCGTAGTGAGGGTAGGGGTGAAGTTTGTCCGCGGGGACGAGGCGGAAAATGGCAAACCCGCCCAAAATCCCCTCGTGGCCGTCCCTAATCGTAATATGAATTTACTAATAAGAATAACATATTAAACCTTAATATAATTTGTTTTCTCGTAATATATCTTAATTAATTATACGTATTCTTTCTATTTAAATCTTTATATTTTCTTTCACAAGTTTTAATTATTTTCTCTTCTTCTTATTCACTCCATAATTTCAATCTACCCCACAAAAATTATCTATTATCATCAACATTATTATTATATAAAGGGCCATTTATGCACCAGTCCTAATTTATGAACTTATACTTCATTAAGTTCTAATTAAGATTTTTTGGACCTTAAAGTCTTCTTAAATTTTTAATTGTTCGAATTGCCCTTCAAACAATAATTGTTTATCATTTGTGATTATATATAAAGAAATATGATGATTTGACATTTATTTTAATTTCCAATATTTTAAAATATCAACTTTCAAATTGAAAAAAATAAAATAAAAATTATGTGCAAAGTAAAAAAAAAAACTAATCATTTTGTTTGGTTCTGGTTTTAGAAAACAGTTTTAAGAAAATTATACTTTTTTATTTTCCGTATTTTAATGTTTTCAATGAATTTTTTTTAATATTTTAGTAATTTTTTTTTTAATTTTTAGACTTACCTAACATAAATACACTCAAAAGTATAATATTTGTATTAAAAAAATCTTTAAAAAATACACTAAATACCAAAAAATATATAAAATTTTAATACATTTTTAGTATTTTTGTGTATTTATTAATTTTTTAAAATATTTTTCACAAATATTTTACTATTTAGATACATCTAAGTAAGGTAAATCTAAAAAAGTAAAAAAAAAATTGCTTAAAGTTTAAAAAATATTCACTAAAAAAAAAAATAATAAGAAAAAAAACTCAATTTTCAGAAAATTGAATTCAGAAAATTAAACCAAACAAACTAAATGTCTTTTTAAAAAAAAATTAAAAAACTGAATTATTTTTTTGTGCAAAACTGAAAGTTTTGTGCCCATGAAGGCGCATGATAATAGAATATTGATGTGTAAAATTTTTATAAAAAATGAAAAAATTGATAATATTCTTGGTTTTAAAACTGTAAAAAATTGATAATATTTTCGGTTTTATTGGATAGTTGAATTAAATCAATAAGTAAAAAAGTAAAAACATTTAATCTCATACTCTGTTTTCTTCATCAGTTAGTGAAACAATTATGTAAAATATTACTATAAAAATTAATAATATTCTTAATTTTAAAAATTAAAAAAATTTGATAATATTCTTAATTTTATTAAATAAAATTTTTTAGTTCAAAATTTTTTAAATAGAATCGGAATTAGCCTAACATTTATAAATAAGGCTTTTAAATGATTAACTTTTATATAAATATTTTACTTTTTATCTTTTTAGTGGTTGTCATGTATTGAATTCAGACTGAAAATACGTAAGCAACCTAAAAAAACAACATTTTGAGCACCTACAGCAAAACTGTGTAAAGATAAATAAATAAAACATATTTTCAAACCCAAAGAAAAAAACTCCCTTCGAAAGTGTAAAGATAAATAAATAAAAAGATAAATTACAAACACATTTTTGATATTTATTTAAATTATAAATTATTTTTTGTGATTTTAGAAATTACATTATACTCTTTAGAGTTTCTAATTTCATAACAAATAAATCATTTTATTAATAAA